TCAGATGACTGAAGAGATTCTGTAACCTGACATGAGGTCATGAGGAGCTTTAATGTTCAGRAGCTTTGAAGGTTCGACACACGATCAGCAACAGGTCGTCTCCTCCTGAGAGAAACAGAAAGTTTTCTTCTCATCCTAACTTTCTTCTCCTCTTCTTTTCCTTTTCTCCTTTTCTTCTCATTCCTTCTCCCCTTCTTTGCCTCCTTCTCCTCTTTTCCACTTCCTTCTCCTCCTCCTCTTGTCCTCTTCTCATTTTCTTCATCTTCTTCTCCTCTTTTGTTCCTTCTCCTGTTCTTCACCTCCTTCTCCTCCTCCTTCTCATCTTCTCTTCTTCACCTCCTTCTCCTCCTCCTCTTCTTCACCTTCTCTTCCTCTTCCCATCTTCTCCTTCTCTTCACCTTCTCTTCGTCTCCTCCTCTTTGGCGCTTTCTCCATTTTTTTCACTTCTTCTTCATCTTCTCCTCCTCATCTTCTTCCTCTTTTCTCTCATTTTTTGTCATCTTCTTCTCCTCTTCTCCTCCTTCTCATTGTTTCACTGTTGTTCATTGGATTGTAAATAAAATCAGTGAGGTGGTAAAACTGGTGAAACAAAAGAAAATGAAGTGACTTCTACATTCTTATAAAAGTCAGTATGAACCGTTCTAACYGTACGGTGAGTATTAACTCATATTTACTGATGTTAATGATAATATTGAGAAACAAACACATTAAGATATGACTTAATGTGGAGAACTCTGAGCAGACATCTTCACCCTGACACTGAGTTTCTCTCACAGCTGTCTTTTTATCTCCCTAACACTTTGTTTGGGAAGTGTAACTTTAAACAGGACAGTCTGCAGTGAGTATACTCTCCTCTCATTGGTTGGTCAATGAAACCCTCGCTGATTGGTTGTAGAGTGTGTGCACGTCGTTTCATTGTTGGATTGGCAGGAGGAGGGTGACTGTGACCTCATCACACAAGTTCCACAGGAAATGAAGACGTTTCCTCCGGTGTGTCGAGACCGTTTCCTTTATGCTGAGGATTTTGTCGTTTGTTATTGAGACAAGGAGCTGGATGTTTTTTTTTTTTAATGAAACGTGCAGAAATAAAYGTTTGCATCGATACATCTACAGCTGATGAACTTTTAAACTTTAGAACCTTAACTTGTATTTATTTGTCTAATTTTGCACATCTTTAAAGTTAAAAGAACAAATCATCAAAATTGTTGATTTTTGAACCAAGAGAAAAGGAAACCTCAGTAACAGAGAGGTGGTCATAATGTTTTGGCTCATTGCAGAACCTGTGTATTATTATTATTGTTGTTATGGTGAGAGAAGTGTTATTAAGGTCAGCTGACCCTGAAACTCTGCATTAATATTTGAGCTGGACGTGTCGACGCTGCTGCAGACGTTCCTACAGAAACATGTTTTGCAGATGAAGAGATTCAGCATCGTTACAGCTGCTCACATCCTCTGATCTCCTCTTTTCTTTTTGTTCAGAGCAGAAATCACCAGGAGGCTTTGTTTCTGTTCAACTGTTAAAGGTTACAGAACTTTTGTTTGAGGCCTTTGTTGTTGTTGCTTCAATTTAAAACAAGCTCTGTGTGTTTTCACCCTAAAGGGATAGTTCCAAGCCTTTAGGCTCTGCACACAGTAACAACTAGAGAAGCTGTGCTAATGCTGAGAGCTGAGTAACTTTGGAGAAAAACATTTTTGTGAGTTTTTACTGGCTTTACTAATTGTAAATATCAGAAATTAAAGTTTAATTTTACTCTTCTTTCTCAGTTGTTCAGAGCGGCTGCAGAGAGGCTGAGGTTGATGAAGAGATAAGTGCGTGTCGTTGCAGATTTTCCGGCCCTAACTTCTTTGCTAACTCTGCAACAAGAAGCGCTTTATGTGAGCGAAGCTTTAGAAACCCAACAATCTATAAAACATTTATGTTCTTTCGCCATTACATCATCACCGTGACTCTGATCGCTCAAGGACATTTTGAAAATAGCCTCGAAGAAGCTTTGTGCTCAATTTCATTAGTGGTTCCTGGTCTGATCCTGCAGCGCTGCACCGGATGAATTACCGGACCGTTGAGCCAAATGGCTTTTGTCCCGGTTTGAACCGGTGAGACGCTGCCAGCTGCGGAGCAGACCAGGATGACCCAGGAGGACTGAGATCACAAACGTTGAGTTTAGGAAGAATTTGTTCTGATGYACGATGTGGGTTTTTTGACTTATCGGCTTAAATGAAAGTTATAGATTAGATTTCTGAAGTGAAAACTTCAGAGATTTTGTAAGACGTTTATAAACAAAGAATATCTTACCTGTTGTAGATGGCTCTCTCTGAGAAGTGAGTTTCATTTGGACTTGATTGTCTGACAGATACTAAAATGGATTATTGCCATTTTTAAAACAGTCTCATCTTGCATCACAGTCACCTCATTAGTTACTCCAGATTATTTTTTTAATTCCATCTTCAACATAGATGTTTTTAAAATTGTCATAAGTAGTCTAAAACGTTCTAGTGTGACAGGGCCTTTAGCATCTGTGACAATATGGAGGAGCAAAAACAGCAACAGCCTCACAATCATAACAGCATTGGTGTCACAAATTATCTGTAATATTTTTACAATAAATGAATAATTCTGTTATTTTTATTCAACAATCATGTAAAGTAGCAGGCATAATTTAAAAAAACATAATTTAAAAGTAACAATGTCCAGACCTGAAGTTCATAATAACTTGGACTTTTTAGCTAGTTGAAAAATTATTATTATTTAAAAAAGTATATTTATTATTTCTTACTTATCATAAATAATAATAAATATTTAGTTGATACTTGTTCCGGTGATATATTGGAATAAAACATGTCTCTGCTGATATTAGCTAACCACCTTCTCAACAAATAAGGTTTGTCCAATAGAAACTTAAAAATAGTTAAATATAAATATCATTTACTCTGTGTTATTACATAAATCAGAGGCAGCTTGTAATATTTAATGATTTGTGTTAATAAATAGATGGCTCAGCAGAGTACATGTAAATGCTACAGAAGCTAATATCTGCTAACCAGTTGCTTTATAAGCTTATTTAATTTTAAACTGTTACATGATTAGCTTCATTTCTGCTCAGATCACATCCACACTGAGGTAAATAAAGTAAAATCTGTTTACTGTTTCTCTTGTTTGTAAATCCAACACACACAGCTTTCTGACAGTTTTCCATACATTAGTTTATAATTACTCTAAAACAGTGGTTCCCAAACTTTTTATCTTCTGACCCACAAAATATCCATGGCAAAAACTTGTGACCCCAAATATTACTGGTCTGAGTACATAAACTTCATTAATAACCCTAAAAACACAGGCTTTCTGACAGTCTAAACAGCTTGTACACAAATATAAATACTTATTTATACTTATTTTGTAATAATTATGGGGAAAATATTACATCAGCAATTATTTCATTACCCTTTAAATTGATTTCTGGAGATTATCCAAGGTGCTTCATGACCCATAATTGTGCAGTGGTTCCCAAACTTTTCAGCTTTTGACCCACAAAATAACAGTAGCAGAGACCTGTGCCCCCAACTGTTTTTGGCTGATAAACATTTGTATCAGGTCAAAGGGCATAGTAACAATATTTTTATACTACATTTATCCATTTTAAATATACTAACCGCACTCCTTTGTAACAACTAAGGCAAAAATGTAATTAATTCAGGAAATCTTTTCAGGACCCCACCTTGATGTTTYGGGACCCCACTTTGGGTCCCGACCCCAACTTTTGGGAAACACTGCTCTAATGTAATAATAATAATTTTGTTAAATGAACATTTTGTTTCCTACAAAAATATTTCTTGAAGATCTAATTGTGTTTATCGGCCAGCAGTGATGTTGAAATGAACATTCTGCATATAGACAGAGTTGTAAAGTAACTAAGTACAAATAGTAGTTTTGGTTATTTGCACTGCAGTTATTATTTTTCAGCTGACCTTTTACTCCTACTCTGTACATTTTCATACAAATATTTTAAATACTTAAAGACTTTTACTCAAGTAATATTCTTAGAGGAGACTAACTTTTACCAAAGTAATTTTATAGCAAGATACTTGTACTTGAATATCACTTTGACATATTTTATACAAGACTGTGTATAGAAATATCTTCACCAATTTTTGTCTGGCAAAGCAGCAGTTAGGGTGGTCAATGAGGGGGGTCCAAATATATTTTTACAGTGGGCACTGCCACCTCTGGCCACCACCTGGCTCTGCCCCTGCTCCAAACTGAAATTCTGCTAATGGCTATCTACAACAAGTAAGAAATCTGTTTTTCTATGGAACCCTGCTTCAAAACATCTGAATCATCAAGTAAAGTTTCACAAAAAAGTTTTAAGTGAACGGGAAAACCCAGAGACGGTTAAAAGAGACACGGCTTCAGCAAACAGCGAGTGTCGGTCCTCATTAACCAGGAGAGGCCAGAACCTGGTGCAGATGTGATCGCTGAGAGGTTTCAGTCCCAACTTTACCCAGCAGAGACTGAATCTGTGAGGAGATGAGGCGTCACACTTACAATAAAATACTGCACAATAACAAAGTAATACATAACACTTTGCTGGCATGACAAACTCAATAGCCCTTTGCAAACCATCCTGATTGCATTTACTTTTTATCTAATTTGGAGTTTGGCAAGCACAGTCGACCTCACTAACCCATTTGTAATCAATTTGACTAATGGAGTAATCTATTAATCTGAAACGGTAAACATTTATTCTGTAAAACAGTCTATATGAAGGCTGAAAACTGACCTTTTCTATTCTAATCCTCTGCAATGCATCATTTTTTTTTCTTACAGCAAAATCTTTGAAAACGCCCAGTTTCTTTCTTTAGACGAGTAATTAGGAGGCAGGAACACGAGTTCCTTTGTGCAGTCCTGCAGAACACTTTGTCTCGAACGTCAGAGGCCTCACCCCGACACAGACACACTGCTAACCTTTCTTTTTCTTTTGTTTTGTTTACATCTTTTTTTAAAGAGACTGCAGGAAACCTGTCTGCGCTTTTTTTATGAGGTCACCTTTGAAAAGAAGTTCAAAGTCTCGACTTCTGTCGGCTGTGTGAGGTGTTTTTAGAAGACGGAGCAGATCAGCAGGTGTAACGTTGACACTGTTTTTTATCCTGCTGCCGTGACGGAGACAAACGGCTGATGACGGCATTCATCTCGTCTGATTCACTTCCAGGGAGCGACAGGTCGCAGGGGATCAGGACGACGTCTCCGGCTGGAGATCCCTGAGAAARCCAGACTCTTTGTGACACTTTGAGTTCACAGTTTTAGTTTAAAGTGTCTGACGTGCTTTTCCTATAAATACAAAAACTGGAAGAGAGCATCTGATTAGTAAAGAAATTTGTCATAACGCACAGGATTTTACCCTTTTTGTATCATAACTGGCATATTTTTGTTTGTGAAACAGGAAGTGAGCACAAAGAGGAAGTTTAATTTCTCTGAACAAATTTTTTAGGATTTGCTGGAGTTTTTACTGCTGTTGTCGAAGGAATGAATATGATGCTGCCTCGCATGCCAAAGTTTAAATGAAAATGTTGGATATCTGTCACACATTAAAGCAGGGATGGGCAACTGATGGACCGAGGGCCACATTTGGCCGGCGAGTGACTTCCAATCGGCCCACCATTGAATTTTTTTTTACTTAAAAACAAGCACTAAAAGCTGTGCTTTTAGTCTGCTTAGAGACACTGGCTGTGTCCAAATTCAGAGGCTGCATCCTCCGAAGGCTGAATTTGTCAGGTGCTTACGTCACGGCGCCGCGCCAGAGGCTGTCCAAATTAGAAGACTCCTCCCATGTGGCTGACAAATGCGTCCTTTTTCTCTCAAAGGAGTACAGTTTTAAATAAAAATCTGTAGGTATAAAAATTAAACGTTTCAAGCAGACACAGCAACTGTCTGCGAAGAAGGATTTTAATACAAGTCACAACAACACGTTGCACAAAGCTAAATATGAGAAGTTTACTGGAGTCGTGAGCACATAAACTGCAACATTTCACCAGAACCATGCAGGAGTCTGAACTCAAGGCGTCTTCCTGTTCAGCTTCAGCTCACTGAAGTGTTTCTTTTTTGTTTGCTTCAAACAYTTTGTATCATATTAATTTAACAAGAGTCTACTACATGCATTTGAGTATGACACATGTAATGTTACTGCACTGTGTGTTAGTTTAATTACATTTGTATAAGTGTGCAACACTGTCCTGGTATCAACAGAAAAAATGTGGACGCTTCCATCAATCTAGTTGCCTACCTCTGAATTAAAATATACATCCAATTTTAGCACCTACAGTGGTTTGCAAAAGTATTCATACCCCTTGAACTTTTCCATATTTTGTCACATTACAACCACAAACATAAATATATTTCACTGGAATTTAATGTGAAAGACCAACACAAAGTGRTATACAATTGTGAAGTGGAAGCAAAATTTTACATGAATCAAAACATTTTTTACAAATAAAAAACTGAAAAGTGCGACGTGCAAAAGTATTCAGCCCCCTTTTCCCTGAGTGCAACCAATTGCATTCAAAAGTTGCCTGATGACTGCTAATTACTCAAAAGGGTCCACCTGTGTGTAATCTAATCTCAGTACAAATACAGCTGCTCCGTGACGGCCTCAGATGTTGGTTAAGAGAATATTGGGGAGCAAACAGCATCATGAAGTCCAAAGAACACACCAGACAGGTTAGGAATATGGTTTTGGAGAAGTTTAAAGCAGGCTTAGGTTATAAAAAGATTTCCCAAGCTTTGAACATCTSACGGAGCACTGTTCAATCCATCATCCGGAAATGGAAAGAGTATGGCACCACAGTAAACCTGCCAAGACAAGGCCGTCCACCTAAACTTACAGGCCGAACAAGGAGATCACTGATCAGAGAGGCAGCCAAGAGGCCCATGGTGACTCTGGATGAAATGCAGAGAGCCACAGCTCAGGTGGGGGAAACTGTCCACAGGACAACAATTAGTCGTGCACTACACAAATRTGGTCTTTATGGAAGAGTGGCAAGGAGAAAGCCATTGTTAAAAGAAAACCATAAGAAGTCCCGTTTGCAGTTTGCCAGAAGCCATGTTGAGGACACAGCAAACATGTGGAAGAAGGTGCTTTGGTCAGACGAGACCAAAATTGAACKTTTTGGCCACAATGCAAAACGCTATGTGTGGCGGAGAAAGAACACTGCACATCACTCTGAAAACACCATCCCCACTGTCAAATATGGTGGTGGCAGCATCATGCTCTGGGGGTGCTTCTCTTCAGCAGGGACCGGGAAGTTGGTCAAAGTTGATGGGAAGATGGATGGAGCCAAATACAGGGCAATCTTGGAAGAAAACCTGTTGGAGTCAGCAAAAGATTTGAGACTGGGGCGGAGGTTCACCTTCCAGCAGGACAACGACCCTAAACATAAAGCCAAAGCTACAATGGAGTGGTTTAAAAAAAAGAATATTCATGTGTTAGAATGGCCCAGTCAAAGTCCAGACCTAAACCCAATTGAGAATTTGTGGCAAGATCTCAAAACTGCTGTTCACAAACGCTCTCCATCCAATCTGACTGAGCTTGAGCTGTTTTGCAAGGAGGAATGGGCAAGAATTGCAGTCACTAGATGTGCAAAGCTGGTGGAGACATACCCTAAAAGACTTGCAGCTGTAATTGCAGCAAAAGGTGGCTCCACAAAGTATTGACTCAGGGGGGCTGAATAATTTTGCACATCGCACTTTTCAGTTTTTATTTGTAAAAAATGTTTTGATTCATGTAAAATTTTGCTTCCACTTCACAATTGTATACCACTTTGTGTTGGTCTTTCACATTAAATTCCAGTGAAATATATTTATGTTTGTGKTTGTAATGTGACAAAATATGGAAAAGTTCAAGGGGTATGAATACTTTTGCAAACCACTGTATGTAAAAATATCTATTTTTTGCACCTATTTGTCTTTTCTTTTCTTGTACATATTGTTTTTTCAATCAATGCTTCGTGCTATAAGGCCATTTTAACCCCTTTTAAAATAAGAAATACAAAGGATTTAACTAAAATTGTCAGAAATAACAGGAAGAAAATACTTGAATTAACAAATTGGTTTTAGTTTGGATTTTAACTGCAGCTTTGAACACGTCTGATAATATCAATATAAAATATATTTACAGAGAAAAATATGTTTGTCTTAACCAATTAAAATGAATCAGATCTGAGTAGTTAGATGTACATATATATGCCCTAAAAGACCTCAATCTGTAATTAATGTTATCTTTTATTTTCCCTCTGATCTGAGCAGCTGAGTCCTCCACACTTTGTGTGTTTCGACTTGGAAGGGCTAACAATTTAAATACACTTATAAGAATTGTTTCTATTTTATTATGTAGTAATCAGCTAAAGGCAGCTCAGATTGGCTTGTATTTATTTTCACATCCTACATATATCAGCCAACTGATTGTACCAGAACAAGTAATATTTAAATATTTTGCAAATATTATTCTGATTACCATAAAAACGACGTGTATTTATTGCTTTCCTCTTATGTTATCATCATAAAACAAACAATTTCAGGGGTTTTTTACGAGTTTTTTTTTTTCCTGTAATTACTGAGAGCGTGAATTTGCCCACTCAACCCAGTGGCAGTCTGGGTATTTAGGAGCAATTTGATCAATTTGTTCTTTGTTCGTTTTACACAAGTATTCAGCTGCAGAACAGGGGGTCCACTCCGGAAACTCATTTGAAATTTATGAAGTGAAAATCACGGGTCTAATAATCCCCCTCCGTGTGCTTTGGTTCTGATTGTGAGAGCTTCAAAGGTTCTTTTAGAAAAGGTTTAGTCAGACAAAAAAAATGAAAAAATAAAATGAAATAATGGTCCAGGAAGAATTTATCACATGCAGGAGAGATTTTAGWAATCAAAAACCTGTGAACCTTCAGTGTTGAGTCACAACTATTAACATTTGTTTCATGCACAGGGGCGGAGCTAGACTTTTTTTTTGCAAGGGGTGGCACAAAGGTGTTATTTTTTTGAGGGGGCAGAATGAAAAAATTTCAAGACGGCCACCAAAGCAATTTCAAATAAATCTAACTTAACTGTTTTTAGATATATTGAGCTGAAATTTGTTGGTGKAGCTAAGAATTACTGCTAGTCCCAGTTGAAGCTAAACGCTAAAACAAATTTTACACAGAGCTACAATTCAGCCATTAAATATGCAGACAAAAATGAATATAGTAGTAGACAAGAATAATCTTTAACAAAATCTGAATACACCTTAGCTGCAATTCAGCTTTTTTACACATATTGAGCTGAAACTTTGCTGTTATGGAATCRTTGCTTTGATCAATTCAATGGTTTAGAAAAGTTTTTTCATCACACTTGCTCTGTTTTTGCCCCAACTTACTATTTTTTATTGCCACATCCAATCCCCACCCCCACTTGTCATCTATTTGTGGGTGGCCAATCAAGTGCCACCATGGCCACCCCTCTGGCTCCACCCCTGTTCATGCAGGAGGCAAATATTTTTTAAAATAACTAAATATATTAGCGCTAACTGTGCAGTTTTTATATGTTTCACTTTAGTAAAGCTGATAGAGAACAGGTTGAGTCGTGACCATCACTGTCTGATAATATTTTTTAAATATTTTATTAGATTGTTTTTCTCTCKACCAGCCTGAAGCTGAGAGTTTTGTGATGTTTCAGCTTCTTACTGCTGCAGACCAGCTACTGACTCAAAATTTAGAGAAAATTTGTCCATTTTTTGTTGAACTCTGAGAGTTTGTCACTAATTACCTCTGGCTGTGATTGGAGCAGCCATTTTAATTTTAATCACAAACCTTGTTTTGTTGCCCACCTCAGCTCGCTCTGTGCCCACCCTGTCTGCCGCCCGGCAATCGTGCTTTAATCTGGAGTACGCTTTAGAACAGGGGTGGGCAATCCTGGTCCTCGAGGGCTGCAGCCCTACATGTTTTACATTTTTCCTGCTCCAACACGCCCGATTCAGTCATTGATTTACCTTTTAAGTTCTGCTGTATGGAGGACCGACACTGACATAATTATAAATAAAAGCAGAAATATGTAAATGAACCACTAAATACACAAATACACTTAAAATGCACCAATTCAATTAAAAAAGAACTTCACCTCATGTTTTGTAATTTAATTCTCGTTTAATTGATATTTTTAACACACTTCAAATTTGACTGTTATTTAAACATATATATTTTTCAGTTTTACTTTTTACTTGCACATACATTTGTCTCTTAAATGTTTAGATTGAAATATTTTTATAGTTTTGTCT